TCATTGTGTTTGCACACCGCATTCAGAGGTCACTGCGATTCTTAACGGAAGTAGAATGCGTAGCACATCCCAAAAAAGGGATTGATCAACGCCGAAAGCCTGATGCATTTATCCTTATTCCTTGACTATTACCAATGATTGAAGGCAAGAATCAGGATTAAATTGATGGTTATTCCACTCAAATGTGAAAGTAGGGATGGGAGGTGGACCGCCAGTGGAGAAAAAAGGAAAGAAAATCCTGAAATACACAGGAAATACGAGCATTTTGCTCTATGCTGTGGAGAAGTTCAAAAGACAGGCAGGGAGATGAGAGATAATGTGAGCGCGGAGAGTGGTAGAGAAGTCCGAGAAGAGAGAGCATAGCAGATCAACGCAGCGACGCAGACAAGATATCGAACGGTGGGCGGACCATGTTAAGTTTGGTGGAGTCTGTTAGAAGTCCATGGCGCCTAGGGTCCTAGTGACGCGTTTCGATGTAGAAAGGTGGCGCTACCTTTGCACTTGCGTACCCAGCACTTCTAGCCATGGTGAGGGCTTCTTAGGTGGGTCTGAGCCCGAACTTTGCCTTTAATGTTGACCGATAATTTTCTTTCTCACTTGCTGCTCAGTGTCTGCTGTGGCGTTCAGCCGATTTCAAATTTTTTACGACCATCCTTTACGAGATATCGATACGACCTCCACATCGCCACCCGTGAGGTAAGTTACCCAAATACGAATATATACCCCTACCACTCCGATCCCACCCTTGCCATCATGGCTCTTTCTATAGCGCTTGATTCCGAGACTACTCCTCGACACACTACCAACGCCCGCTTTTCCTAACAAAACCGCAGTCAAGTGGTGGGGCAGGGGAGTATGTAAATATGTCTAAGAAAGGAGAAATGTCCCATATTTTGTTGGCCCCATTCTTATTTTTGAAATTTCTGTCAAAATTTACTGAAAACTTGTCAAGAACAACACTATCTCCTGCGAATCTGCCGAACGGACCGCTGACCCTGCTTCCGCTTTTGTAACCTCATTCCTGTTGCGTATGCCCTAGACTGAGTGAGTTGGCGGGAGTTGGACTTCCTATTGCCGATAAGCTAATTATCGCACGTCCGAAGCAACTCCGTTACAGTCCGAAAAAGTAAAATGTATACCTATCCTGCTACCTCGAACTCGAGTCAACAGGCGGGGAAGTGAACGGCTCTTTCTCGCTGCTCTTGTTTGCTTTTTTTTTTTACTTTCCCGGACTCGCGAAAGCATGAGAGCAAAGTAAAAGTTGCGAGAGTCAACGTGTGCATGAGAGACTCTCGTCTCTTTCCCGCACAATCGAGTCGCTAGTGCATCGTTGGAAACGCTGACGCATCGCTCCCCAGGATTCGCAGGTCGGACACCGGCCTCACAAGGGAAGGATACTAGGTCGAAGTGACCGTTTGCAACGAGACATAACACTAGAGTGTAGTGTGGTGACGCTGATCTCGAATCTGCTCTCCGAATCTGCGAAACGATTTTCTGAACGTAGTTATGAAGCGAGATAGTGCAGTGGCAGCGGCCCTGGCCGACGAAGCAAGAGGTCGTGGATCGACTCGAGTTCGAGTTCTTACTTTTGCTTTTCTTGAAAACATTGTTTGAGGAACTTTTATCTGCTATAGCCATCAGCGATTGCCAATCGTACGAGTGGGAAGAGCCTTGCGAAGTGCTTCGAACACTGTGCGCGTCATTTGCAAATGACCGTCTCTGGCACCCGTAGCTCATGCGTCATGCACTTTCTTGCCAAATAGATGTGATTTTCGTGTTCAGCGCATCAAAACTACCCCTTGACAACTTTTGATCCAAATCCAAAATTTTGACCTAAAGTCGAAAATGTGGGCACACACGACCGACAGGACACGGCAAATGACGCGCACAGTGTTCGAAGCTCTTTGCCAGCTCTTTCCTCTTATAGGATAGCAAGTCGCTGATGATTTAGCATGCATAAGAGTCCTTTGAACAATGTTTTCAAGAAAAGCAGCTGAGAACTCGCCAAGAAGTCGATCTCACGACCTCTTGCTCGTCGGCCCGGGCCGCTGCCACTGCACTATCTTCGCTTCATAACTACGTTCCAGGAACCGTTTCGCAGATTTGGAGAACAGATTCGAGATCAGCGTCCAAAAACACATTTAAGTGGTGTATGTCTCGTTACAAATGGCCACTTCGACCTGGTATTCTTCCCTTGTTAGAGGCAGGGTCAACGTCACGTTGGACCAATTTCGAAAATTATACAATCCCCCTACCCCCTT